TATAAAATTAAAACAGGGTAAAACAAAACTTAATACAAGCTTGCCTGTCAAGATGCAAATTCTTTGATTTAGTTGTAGTACCAGGATAACCATGTTAGAAATCAAATTAAAAAAATTCATGAAGTTTGATTGTCAAACAACTTGATGTTGGAGAACAGAAATGGAAAAATAAAAGGCAATAGGAAAATATATGGGTTGATTTGGGTTAACCTACAAACCTTACGATCATTGGTATGAGATCAAGATAATCCAACACAAAGGAAACGAAAAAAAATACAAAGATCAATTTTCATTAAATTATACATTGAAGGGTAAGATTTAAATAAATCAATTTAAAAAATGACCCTAAAAAATTCAATTCATGTTAACTTTTAAAACTAACGACTATGATCATGGACCTAGACTAACTCGGTGGCAACAAAAAGAAAAATACAAGTCAATCTGAGTCAACTTGCAAACCCTAAGACTATAGACATAAGATTAGGATAACTTAGTTGAAATGAAAGAAAAAGAAAAAAAAGGTAGAAACACTAATTTAAAATAAGTTAAATGTTGAAAAATAAAATTGAAATAAATCAATTTTAAAAAGAGAAAAAAAACAAAAGTCAATTCACGTCAACCTCTTAGATCAGTGAAATTAGTTATGGACTCGAAACTAATTTCATGAAAGGAAAACCATATAAAAATAATAAAGCAAAACTCTAAAAATAAGGTACAAAAAAAAAACTTTGCTTTAAAAAAGGAAAAAATAAAAATAAATTAGCCCAACAAACCTTCTAAACATGTTCTTTCATGAAAGGAAAACCATATAAAAATAACAAAGCAAAACTCAAAAAATAAGGTACAAAAAAAACTTTGCTTTAAAAAGGGAAAATATAAAAACAAATTACCCCAACAAACCTTCTAAACATGTTTTAATATCTAAAACTCACAAATCATAAAATTCTTGAAATGAGTTCAAATAAGAAGCTTAACTTTCAATCAATTTAGTATTAAAGGATGAAATCATAAAATAAAAATATCAATTTAAAAAATTCATCAAATGAAAAAAGATAGCAATATAAAAAACAGATATTAAATTTGATAGGAAAAAAAAACAATAGAGGATGAAATTGTAAAATAAAAACTAAAAAATAATCCTCGAACAAAATAAATAATAATCAAAAGAATGGTAACTAAATTTGAAAGATAAAAAATAAAATGGGTGAAAAAGAGGGAAAATAATTTTATAGCTTATAAAAAATAGAAAACATTAATATGAAGAATGATGACCAAATCTTAAAGATTTTTAAAAAAGGAGGATGGTTGAAAAGTATTTGTAATTTAATGACTTATATATATAAAAAATATAACCAAGATAACATAAACCAAATGTGAAAGAAAATGAAATTGATGGTGTTAGTTTGAATTTTTAAAGAGAATGATGTTGACTTCAAAGAGGAGAGACAAAAGAGTAGGGCAAAAAAAAAAGAAGATTATTGACGCCAAACTAATGGCACTTCTAGGCCATGCGCCGCCCCATCATGTAGGGGGCATTGAAACCTTCTAAATGCCACTCCGAAAAGTGATGTTTCATGTATAGATAACCCTATAGTTAGTGCCTGAACGGTATAAAGGTTGTCTAAATGCTGGCGCATGCTACACATACCTCGACAAGTTTTTTTAAAATAATATTTAATGTATGTCAAATACAATAATGTCCATGAATAACCTTCAAGTTCATAATAAAATTAGTGTAAAATGAAAAAAAAAAACTATGAGAGAGTCATGTTGATTTTGTTTTCAAGGACATCAAAGTAATTACATTGTTTAGAAAAAAATAGAAGATCAAATCACCCCTGTGAAATAGATATAATTTATAAAAGATAATTGTATCACAGTGAAAATATCACTTTACCTCGAATGCTTGGTCTAATTTTTTTTGGGTAAAGGTGATTTTATCATTTAATTATTCCAATGAATAGTAAAATATCTCATAGGCTAGAGACATCTAGGATGTGCTTCATAGTCCAGGCTTGAACTCTTGTTTGAAGTTTGGTAGAAGTTTTTTTTTAAATATTTTTTATTTATAAAAATATATAAAAATATATTATTATTATTTTTAAAATTTATTTTTAATATCAATATATCAAAATAATTTCTTTTAAAAAAATATAGTTGGACCACACGACAATCTAAACCTAAACAATAAGTAAACGTGGAGTTTAGCTACCATAACTAGATTTTTACTTGGTTTATAGTTAGTTTTTTATTGGAGAGGTTAGCTTTAAATAACCAATAAAATAAATTAAATCGACAGGGATTAGTAGACCTTGATCTATGTGTTTCTCGTGTGGAAAGATTTGATATGTGGATGTAAATGATTCATTTGATATGCTATGGTTGATGTAGAATCAAACTTTAAAAATCACAAAATAAGCTTCCTTTTTTACCAATCAAAATCACAATAAAATATGTTACATTGAAATAATTTTTTATAAGAATTTAAAATATATTTTTTTTATAAATAATTATCTTTCTTACCATTATTTATTTTAAATATTACACAATTAAAAAAATAGATTTCCAAGAGAGTCGCTGCTCCGATAAAATTTAATAAAAAAATCACACGGGCTGTATAATTCACAGGCCTCACTATAACTTTATATTTGGGCCAAAAGCAAAATAATGGCCTAAGAAGAAATGACAATATCAATCAGGCACACGCTCGAACACTTCTCCTCTAAATTTCTCGATCTTGAAAACCCTGGCGGCCTCAACCGCCCTCATTCATCTAGCGTGTGCTCATTTCCATGGTCTAAAAAACAACCATAGTGAGGCCTAAAATATACCCTCCACGCTTCATGGTTACGCATTTTTGTTTGTTAATGTTGTGATTTTTTTGTTTAACATGGATGTTTTATATAGATGTTGTGTGTAGGCAGATGTGGATATAGATGTAGCTGCAACAAGACAACTAAAAAAGAGAAGGTTTAAGATGTTTAGCTTGAGGGGTATTGATTTGAATGCTCTTCTTGAAATGTTCACTGATGAGCTTGTAAAGTTGTTCAGTGTTCGTGCTCATAGAAGGTTTTTCTTTAAAACTTTCATCCATCTCTCTTTGTATAACTAGGAAGTATGTATTTAATGTGTTTGTAAACGTGAGATTTAGGTTTCAAAAAGGTCTGAAGAGGAAGCCAACGACTCTCATCAAGAAGTTCCACAAGGTAGTAACTATTCTTAAACCTTTTCTATATTGGTTTTGTTATTACTGTTCTAGTTGCTTAGTGCTTGGCCTTAGGGTTTTGTAGTTTGATTAGCTCTTGACGCGTTAATAATCACTTATTACTTGTTTTTTTCCCTGGTTATCCTATTTTTGAGTTGGATGTTAAATTCCAGTTCTTTGTTATTTATATATGATGTTCATTTAGAATGTCTTAGTAAATAGAAAGAACATAACATCTCAAGGTATGTCTCCTAAATGTTTAGTGTCACGTGAATTGAAGAATAAGTCAAAGTATATTATGTTGTGTTCTAACTTGGATGGTCCAAGATGGATCGTTTTTGTTTCCGTGATGGAAATTATAGGGAGGGATACCACTTAGATCAAAATTATTATTGGGTTTTGAATGACTGTTATATCTCTGTCTTATTATTTATGTATTTTATGTCGTTTTAATTTTAGGTTTACTTTATATAAATATTTTAAATATAATATTAGTAGCATATAATCTTATTAAATATTCTTTTAAGTAATTTTTTTTCATTTTTAAAACCTTAATTATTTTTTTCACGCTGAAAAGGCCAAATTAGTTAATAATAAATAGATACAAGAATATTTTGATGGATTTTTTAGATAAAATATATTTTTCATTTTGAGAGAGAGGTGTTGTGAGAGGAGAGGTGTTTTGTAAAGTATTTTCTGAAAAAAAAAAAAACTTTTAGTTTGGAAAGGCTAATTTTTTTCTTTGACGAGAAACAACTTTCCTAAAATCCATCAAACATGGAAAAGTGGAAAATGTAATTTTTCGTCTAAAAACAAATAAGGCCTTAATCCATTTATCATAAGAGTGTTTTCCATTATTAATTGGTGGTTTTTAGAGGCATATTGTTTTTCAAACTCTATTATGATTTACAGCAATCATCCTACCAGACCTTAATCATATGTTGCGTGTAAAATGTTTGCTTCCAAATGTTCTCTACACTGTACCACTTATAATAGAAAACTTCAGGTTTATGAAGTCTTATTAAACTCAAATTAATTGATGGGCTCATATGTCATCTATAGTTCACTTGATGAGTTTGTTTGATAATTTTTCATTGATTTTTTATTGTATAAATTTGAGATTTATTTCTTTTTTAATGTTGTGGAACAGAAAAGGGAGGCTTCTGCTGGCAAGAAGCCTGAACCAGTCCGAACACTTCTAAAAAACATGATCATTGTACCTGAAATGATCGGAAGCATCGTTGGAGTGTACAATGGCAAGTTATTCAATCAGGTTGAAATCAAGCCGAAATGATTTGGCATTATCTTGCCGAGTTCTGAATCTCATACAAGCCTGTCAAGCATGGTAGACCTAGTATTGGTGCTACGCATTCCTCTAGGTTCATTCCTCTCAAGTGAGATGTTTTGCAGCAGCTAGGATACTCCGGTTCTTTCCAATCTTTTGATGACATCTGAGGTGGTCAAATTTTTACCGATTTAGTTGATTAATTGTGTCATTTTGTGTTTTATTCGAGTTAGAGAGATGATTCAGAATGGTTTATTATAGTATTTTTTATTAGCGTAAACATGTTTTTGGATTTTCTGCTTTCACATTTACTATGTTGTTTTAGTGTCTGGTATACTGCTCTTTATCATTTCAGTTTTTTATGACCTTCATTCTTTGATAATATAAAATGGAAAAGAAAGTCTTTTTAGTGTTTGCAAGCTTTTGAGATTGGAATATCTTCTTTCTGGCTTATTTGACTTGATCGTACCTTCTCTTTTTTGTTCCTATAATTGTGCTGGCTTATCAAACCCAGTTCTAACTTGTCATGTCTCATTCTTTGTCACAAGTCTTTTTTGTCATATACACCTCTAATTTAAAGTTATTTAAAAGTATTTTTGTTATAAATTATTCAAGAAAATAACCTTTGAATTACAATATAAAGTTAAAAGTCAATGCCACGTTCCCAAGTAAGAAAAATGTCTTGAGAAGAAACTATGTTGATGAAGCCTAATAGGATTACGGGTGCTCTGGGCTTCTGGCACTGAGCTAACTATGATAAATCCTCCTATCACTTCCCAAGTAAGAAAAAAGAAAGACATTTGCCACGTTCCTTGTTTATTAATTTCTTAAAGGGCAGTTACACGTACCACTGCTTTTCCAGAGGAAATGCAAGGTCTCCAGGCCTAACTTAACAGGTTTGAAAATGGCCGCCTACTTAAACTGGTCTTTTTATCGAACCTTCCTTTGATCATGTCGCATCGTCCTCCTCCTCCTCTTCCTCTTCTCTTGGATAATAGTATAATAAAAAAAAACATAATACAATGCTTGCCTAGCCGCAAATAAAAGTCTCTCAAGCTTTTATTTTAGTCAATCAAAGTTCAAAGATAGACAATTCAACCATCGAGAAGCTAACCAGTCAGTGATAGTCAACGTTGTTAACCTCAATTACTTCACAATCTGTGGAAACTGTACACTCAAGCTGACTGGTGTTACGATCACGTTTGTTTGGTTTTCTCCTTTGGCTTCTATCTAACCTTCCAGTAAACGGCGTGGGAATTCTTGTCATTATCTTGCCAGTGTCCTTTTCACCGCATTTTCCATCTCAGCAGCTTCAATCTGGCAACATTTGAAACACACAATTAGCATCAATAAAAGGGGTGTGTGTGTGTGTATTATAATCGTGCATAGTTTATCATGTCTATGTTTTTATGTTCACAAGGCCAGCTTCAGCAAGAGGAGAAAGTTGAAATTGACCCTTCCATTCCAAGGATGAAAAATGGAACAAGTTTGTGGCCAAAGATAACTCGTTTTAGTGCGTTTTGGCTGCTATGCCTGAAATAGATACAACGAAGTAAATACTGATGGATCGTGAAAAATGGTGTCTTTGTTTCCAATTCTCTCTGTCGAGACTAATAGGCAGCAGCTGCTATTTATTACTAAGCACTAAAGTGATAATAACAAGCACAAGTATACCATGCGTGATATGCTGCATCGAAATTTGCCCAGTTAAAACAAACCATTGTTGGAAAGTAACAAGAGATAACGATTGGCGGGAATACCTCAGATTCAATTTCCATTACTGCTACAAGTTCCTGATCAGAAAACTGTGATTGAATGCTTCTGGTTTTTGTTCCCAAACTCTTCAAGCACTTGAGAACATCTATCATAGGATCCACCCCTGATGTTGGATTGGCTACTTTAATTCTAATCTTTGTACTCTCAACATTTTTTATTCCACTTGCTGCCAATCTATCTTCAATCTCATCATTTCTCCTCTTCAACATCTCCTTGTACATCTCCAGCTCTTGAATCTTCCTTGCTGCCATTAGCATAATCGAGTTCTTATCTTTCTGCAAATCAAGATCACACAAAAGAAATTGATAAAATAACCATTTTGATTAATAACTAAAAGCAATTACCATATATACCTTCAATGCATAATAAACACCAGTGAATGATGATTAATTAGCACGCAAGTTATTGATAACTAACCTTGGTGTCATGGGGTAACAAAGAATGCAGAGCCAGGTAACCATTTCGCTCCCTCTGTCTCCTCAATCTCTCACTCATCTTATGACGATAACACCGTTTGCTATCAGGTTCTTGAGTTTCAATCTCTACCGTGAAACTTCTCCTCATGAATTCTATCATTCTTCTGTTCATGTTAGTAGGATGTACCCCCATTGAAGAACTCCCTGCCCCAACTTCGCTTCCACCCCAAGGTCTGCATATATATGGCACAAAAGCACTTTGATTTACAGGACCATTCTCATAGCAGAAGACATCACCTTGCAGCAATTGCTGTTGAAAGAAGTGATCCATCTCCAGTCCTCTCCCTTGCCCTTTGCGAGGAAGTTCAAACTTCAGCTTCCAACTGCTATAGATAACTGTCTCCTTAAACTGGATTTTGTGTTCAAAACGCAGGGTAATTGCAAACGAGGCACATTTAGCAATTGGTCAGTTTTGTTGTTCAGGTCAAGGCGATTTCTCTTGAGTAAATTTTGTGGTCGGCTTAGCTTCTTTTAGGGGCCATTTTCGTATCATATGAAAGTCCAAATGATAAATGGGCTCTGTTCTGAATTTGAAGGCAATAAATGTCTAATCCCCAATATCCTTGCATGACATGTAATCATGTGCATGTGTATGGTTTACATCGCAATAAATAACTGAGACTCGCAAATATCCTTAATATTTTCAAATATGCTTGCAAGAATTTACAATAATTGTTGATGAAACTTCTACGGTAGTCCGCCTCAAACCAGGCAAAATACCTGAGACACCAACCACCAAAAAAAGGAAATTGCTAATAACAAACCTTTTTTTTCCTTCTAAAAACACCAAGAAAAATCTTTTCAATAAAAATTAGTGGATAAAAAAAGAAAAAAAGAGAAAAAAAAAAAGAATAAATACCATCGGCAGGCCAGACACTGGGAGCTTCAGGATCATCTTCGGGGACTTCAATTCCAATGTAATACCCCTTTCCTTATAGTCTCCTACTACCATATAATATATACAAAAACAAACAAACAATCGCTGCTTCCATTTTATCGTCGATAAATTCATAAAACAAAAGAAAAGGTAACAATTTTGGAATTAAAAAGGAAAAACATTTAAATGAAAAGAAACCAACCATGAAGTTGATTATCAGGATCCAAAACAGGAATATAACGTCTATGCTTCTCATCCCTTAAATAAAACCTTTATTTTCGCACATAACGGCAATTCAGAAAATTTCTTACTCTGCGTTAATGCCTCCTCCATGAATTATTGGCTTATTCCATGGTTTTTCACGTAAAAAGAAGAAAAATCCACAATCCAAACACGCCTACTCTAAACAAAACCATTTTATAGAATCAAAACAGAATTAATTAATAATCAGTGAGAAATTAAAAGGAAAGATATTATTTTAAATTACCTGTTTGTAAGGGAAAAAGATTGCTGGATATCAGGGGTGGAAAGATCGATGCAATCGAGGAAGGAAATCTTGGTAGACACGGGAGCATCATGCTGGTGCTTCTGCATATTCTCCATTCATATTATTATTTTTTTCCTGAGAGTGTCAAGCTTCGAAATTCTAGTTCATCGAAACAGGTGTTTATGTGCGATTGTAGGGTCCAGAACAAACGATGTCGTTTCCATGAACTCTCTCCTCGCCTTTCAGTTCTTCTCTTTTACTTCGCATGCTAAACAACGGCACATAGATTAAGCATCCGAGTAGTTTTTATTTAAAAATATATTAAAATAATATATATTTTTTATTTTTTAAAATTTATTTTTTATTTCATATATCAATACAATTTAAAAACATTTTAAAAAATTAATTTAAAACTAAAAAGTTTTTTACAAAAAAAAAAAAAAACACGATCTATCTTCAACAACAAGCCACTTAATATATGGCAAGAACTTTGAACTGACGGATACAGTGACCCAAATTTTCAACACAATTCTGTGACGCAATGAATCCTGACCGTTGATTTTTTCTTTCTATTCTTATCTTATCCTGTCTTCTCACTATATCTTCATTTTTATCCCTAATATTTGATACACAATTTCAGCACGGTCCCTGAACTAGATAAAATTACAGAAAAGGGAAAAACTCACTAGCCTTTATTTTTTTGGGATATCTACTTGTTTTTTTTTTTTCTATTTGATGAAATAAGGATTCAATTACACAATTTTACAATTCAAGGATCAACGTATAGTTTGTCATATCGTGGCTTTTTCCTAAACTAAATGTCAGCTTTTCATGAAGATTAGTGTGCTTTTTTTGTTTCAAAAGTTTTCTTCAATAAAATTTATTTTATTTTATTTTTGTTTTAAATTATTTTTTTGATATTTTTATATTATTTTAATGTATTGATGTTAAAAATAACTTTTTAAAATAAAAAATAATTTTAAAAAATATTAAAATAATAAAAATTTTTATTTTTAAAAATTTATTTTTAATAGTTACATTAAAAAAATAATATGAAAACACACAAGTTATGTTCCGGACAGTTGGTTTGGGACATCATCTGGAAAATTTGTACGAAGTTCAGAACCAAATTGTTCTCTGTTTCAAACATCATTATCACCATCAGTTTCACTGTCATACGTCCCAAGGCATACCTCATCTCATCTCCGAGCTGTCCTGTGTAAGGGGATAAAAGACAAAAAGAAAGGTGCGTTTTGTTCTTCAATAATTATATTTTTTAAAAAAGAAAAAAATCACGTCATTGTTTTTTCTTCCGTTAAAAGTTAAAGTTAATTGCTTTTAATTATCAGAAAACATATTCCAGGTTCATAAAACAATTATCATTATTAAAATATTAATTTTTTATTCAGTTAGCTGCAACGCATCATAATTAATCTTATAAATCCTAAAATTAACGACTATATAAACCTTCAATAATCAATTATATAAGTAATTAAAAACTTAAACTTGAAATCATAAAAAAAATAAATTTTAATTTTAAATTTTTATCATTTGCCACCATCTAAAACTCAAACTTGAAATAAAAAAGAAAAAATCTCTTAATCTCAGTTTTTTATCATTAGTCACCACCACCTAGATCTAGATAATTATTAAAATATTAATTTTTAATTAACTTTTAAGTTGGTTTTCTATTTTATTTTTTTTAAATTTATTTTTAATATTTACATTAAAAAAATAATAGGAAAACACACAAGTTATGTTTCGGACAGTTGGTTTAGGATATCATCTGGAAAATTTGTACGAAGTTCCGAACCAATTTTTTTTTTTTTTGATTTACGTGGGGTGTTCGGGCCAGTTTGCGCGCACCACGACTAATTCCCATAGCCCACTGAATACCCTGCAAACCCAGTAGACATGTAAAGCACCGCGGAGATGACAGACATATACATCAGAGCTCGAATCCATATGCAATAGAAGAAAACAAATCCCTTTCATCGCTAAACCAAGACTTGAAATGCAAGTTCCGAACCAAATTGTTCTATGTTTCAGACATCATTATCACCATCAGTTTCACTGTCATACGTCCCAAGGCATACCTCATCTCATCTCCGAGCTGTCCTGTGTAAGGGGATAAAAGACAAAAAGAAAGGTGCGTTTTGTTCTTCAATAATTATATTTTTTAAAAAAGAAAAAAATCACGTCATTGTTTTTTCTTCCGTTAAAAGTTAAAGTTAATTGCTTTTAATTATCAGAAAACATATTCCAGGTTCATAAAACAATTATCATTATTAAAATATTAATTTTTTATTCAGGTCAGCTTAAACACATTACAATTAATCTTACAAATCCTGAAATTAACGACTATATAAACCTCCAATAATCATTGTATAAGCAATTAAAAATTTAAACTTGAAACCATAAAAAAAATAAATCTTTTAATTTCAAGTTTTTACCATTGACTATCATCTAGAAACTCAAACCTGAAATAAAAAATAAATAAATTTTTTAATCTCAAGTTTTTATCACTAATCACTATCTAGATGGTTATTAAAATATTAATTTTTAATTAAGTTGGTTTTCTATTTTTTATTTAAATTATTATTAGTAACATGACTGAAATAATTATATTCATCATTAGTAATGTTTTTTTTTCTAAAGTAACATGACTATTACTAGAAAATAAAAGTGATAGTGACTTAAATTTTATTATAATATATTATTAATATTATGGTTAATTAATCAATTCATGCAGCGATTACCTTCTCAATAAATGTAACGAAGTTTTACTTCTCAAGACTTAAGAAGTCATGATTTAAAATAATTTATCTAAAGCATTTTTTAAAAATATTTTATTATAAAAAGATATTAAAATAACTTATTATTTCCGTAGTTGTGATTAATTTATTTAGGCACTGTAATGTGATTATTTTATCCCACCAACTCTCAAACTATTTAATCACTAATTATAAATAATATTTGAAGATTTAGTTTTGATTAAATTGATTTGAACCCCACCTGACAAAAGTTTGCATTTTTATAAACTGCACTATCCATCGAGAGTTTTATTAACAAGACACGGAGACAGAGAGAGATACGAGGGACGCCAAGACTAGACGCAACTCCATAGCGTGGCATTTTCGAAATTCGAAAATTTCAGGTACTCTGTCTTACTTCTATCCGACTTATTTTTTCCAGCATTAAATTCCAGTTCCTACAACTCTCTTTTCCAGGATCTGATCTGGCTGCTAATAGAAACTCTCAATGGATTTTCTCTCTGTACTCATAGAGGTGAATTATGAAAAACTATGGTATACAAATCCTGGGATTTTTAGCTATCAGTTGATGGGATTTTATTTTGCAAGAAAACCAAATTGGCTGTTTTCAGGATGGTTTAGTTAAGGTCTGCGAAAATTTACATTGCTCCTTGTGGTACGAATCTATATAGCATAATCTTCCGTGGTGAGTATATTTATTTCCCTTGTAATTATCCTTAGTGATAAAGGAATTTCCTTTTCTACATTTTCTGATAGATGGACATAAGTTTGGTTTGAACTCTGTTTCAAATTCAATTCACTGAACATTTTCTGTTGATCTTCCACTGCTGATAGGCTGCTGAGTAAGTTAAGTGTATGTGGATTAATATGAATACTTTATGCTTCTTGGATTACAAGTCAAAGGTGTTTTGAAGATGCAGGGTCAGGTTATTTGGAAGGAGGATTTCATTTGCATCGAGAGAAGCCAGGATCACGTGCTTCAATGATGTATAAAATATGGAAATTCAAGTGTGCTATGATGGATAATAAAAAGATCTGCTTTTCTTGGTGAATGTGTTGACAATTATCTGAGAAGAGTTGGAATGAGCAGACTCTATTGATGCAGGGGGAGACTAGAGTGCTGATGATAAAAGCATCAGCATGATGCCAAAGGCCATTAGGATTGAGTAAAATAGTGAAATGGGACTCACTTGATTCAAATCCAGTGGCCTAATGGCATCAGCATTATGTTTATGCTTGAAGCACCAGCATTGTAGCAACCCACCTTTGGTGCAAGACGCCAAGATGAGACTTGATTCTATATTTTCCAAGTCCCAGTCAGTGATGAGCTAATAGCTGGCTATCACTGTGCTGTCCTATGGCTACTTTCTTCTTTTGATTGCTGAAAAGTAGCTAGGTGTTCATAGTTTATCAATAACTGCTTGTATCATATTATAGTTTTAAACGTTCTTATCCCATTCATTAGATTATTTGAATCAGGTTTTGTCTCGAAAACTTTGTTCATTGATTATCTCTGTTTAACCACGTGAAATTAAGAATTGTTTTGATGCACTTCCTGAGGAAGCTGGTTGTTCGATCTCGAGGCCTTATTCTTTTTTATTGAAGTTGTTTTGGAGTGGATCACTGGTATGTTCGGCGAAGTGAAGTCCTCAGTAATGTCAGAATCGTTGCTGAAACCTTGGACAGAGCTGGATTGAATTTGGTCAGAGTCTTATGGATGTTATTGGTCAAAATCCACCATTGCAATATGGACCGCCATGGCTAATGACATGTTTCATGTGATTTTAGTTTGATAAATGCGCCATGATGCCGTTTTAATAATTTTTCTCTACCTTTCAAAATTTATTTTATTATTTGCAAAGAAGGAAAACACCTGATTATGATATCTGGTAGGGGGCAATAAGATAATTATTTTTTAAAATATTTTTATTTGGAAATATATTAAAATAATATTATTTTATTTTTAAAATTTATTTTTTATAGTAATATATTAAAACAATTTAAAAACATAAAAAAGTTAATTAAAATTCATATTAAAACAATTTAAAAATATAAAAAAGTTAATTAAAATTTAAAAAAATAATTTTTTAAATACTTTTAAAATATAAAAACACACGGTATGGCAAGGATGAAAACGGTTGGGTGTAAGGGAAAAAGTAAATCATCGTCACAAAAAAGAGAAGATCACTTGGCGTGCCACTACTGAATACAAATCCTCCGTCACCATAACTACACAATAGAGGGTTGTATTGGATCCAGTCAGTAGCCGCACGAAAGCAAAAAAGGGCAGTCACGCACAAAGTGCCAGCTGAGGCGTTGCGAATTGGGAAGAGAGAAACGAGGAGGAGAACGAGTCGCATCTCAGTGAGTCATCAACAACAAGGGCGTTCTTTCATCATCTCGAACGATTTGAGGTTCTCCATTATGGAAACCCTTTTGATGTTGGTCTATTTTAACGCACCTATTTCGCGAAAGTTGGTCCCCCCCCCCCCGGCCCCCCTTTTAAATTCTTCCGTTTCTATTGATTTAAGTAAGATTTCGTCTTTTTGTCATACGAGAGCATGTTTATTTTCAAGTCTGTAAAATTTTACTTGGTTGTCAGTGGCTGTTCTTTTTCATAATGATTTGGTAAAGGCTGGTTGATGGGTATGTTTTTATTCAACATGAGGAGAAAGCAAGAAATGTTAAGAGGTTATTAATGTGGACTTTGTTAGCTATGAAAAGATTGTATTAAAGTTGATGGAAATGAGTTTAGAGGCTATTATTCAAAATGTGCTTTCTTATTTTAACATGCCATGGTATTATCTGTAGGTGGCATTGGAGAGAGGATGGAACTCTAAATACTAGAGATTGTGTAAATGCGCAAATGGATGTAGTTGTTTGGTTTCAGGAATACTTACAATTTTTTTTCAAGTATGATACAATGTTGGGCCTTCTAAATCAGCAAATAAGAATGTGTCTGTAGAACTTAGTCAACATTTGGTTATGTTTTGGATCACGGCAAAAACATAACATAAGACCTGATTTGGGTTTAGATCGAAAGCTTACATTTAAAATCGAGTCACACATAATGCTATGTCAGGGTTCTAGGTGTAAATGATTTTGAAACACTTCACCAGTCTCTGGTAGTGCTAGAGAAGACTGTTGCACATGATACATGTATGAAACATTTGAAGTATCTTAGTTGAGTGTGATAGAAAATTTAGCTCATAACAGAACTTAAGTTGTAGGGAAGAACTGCAAATATCTATTTGACCAGGTTGAGGTAATCGAGACTCCTGTCTGATGTAGGAGAATTTGCTGTAGTTAAGATTTAATATTCTCTGCAGTATGTTGTGGACTGTACTAGACAACCATCTATATTTTCTGCTTCTTTGACTGGTGCAGTGGTTTCTTCTTATTTTTGTTTTGTATTCTAGGTATATGCATCCTTGAACAGAAATAAAATACGATTAGAGTTATTGCTAAATGTTGTCCCCTCTCTGTTCTTTCAAACTCTATCCTTATTCTGTGATTTCTCTCCTTTGTTTTATTTCCATCTTAAAATCTAGGAGTTATATTTATTCTCCTCATCACTCCAAGGCAATATACTTGACATGAATGCAAAACATCCCCTCTTAAACCTCGGGGATGTTAAACCTTGGGGATGTTTGATTTTGTGGGAAAAGGATGATATAGTTAATGTTTGCTTGATTTAAAGTCTTCCAATGGCCTTTGTGTGCTAAAATGCTGTTTAACTCGTCTTCATCCTCTGCATACCTTTGTGAATGTATGGTCCCAAGTTCCAGCTGCATTCTCAAGTCCTGGGCTTAACAATTCTGCTGCTGTCTTTTGTGGTTTCTATTATAGATCACATTTTGTCCTTACTCAGCTGACCTGTACATGTGGTTAGAATTCTTTAAAAATTTCTTCTAATTAATAATATTATCCATGCAAACCTTTGGGAACCTAAAGAATGCATTTGGGCTACCTAGTTAATTCAAGAAGTAATGAGTTTTTGGCACTGTGGTTGAGTTTGCAATGGTCAGTCTGCTAGGAGGCTCCTCATAAGCACTTAGTTTCTTCCTTCCATTATTGTTTGTTAGTGTATCTTAAGCATTTTAGTTGGTGCTACTTAAGGTTGGTAAAACATGACGTGTTATTATCAAGATGTATCAGTTGAATATCTGGTCCTTATTGTATTGTTTGGGTTTATGTAGGGTGCATTGTGATTTAAAATGTACTTACATTGGCTACTTAATCTATAATTTGCACCTCTAGAGTCCCTTCTGTATAGCTGATTTGCATCACCAAAGAAATTCTTGGTAAAACTCTGAAACCAGAACTGAAATTGATTTGTTTCTCACCTTTTGGTTTATTACAGGTGAAAAAAGTGGACAGCAAAAGGATGTTTCTCAAAGTGCAGTTGCCCTGGAATGTCATAATACCTGCTGAGAACTTGGATGCCAAAGGACTAATGCTCCAAAGGTCAATTGTTGTCCGCCTTTTAGATGACTTCGCAAAAAAAAGGGCCACCAAAGATCTTGGATACTATCTTGCTGTCTCGACTTTGGAGAGCATAGGGGAGGGAAAAGTTAGGCAGCACACAGGGGATGTGCTATTTCCTGTTGTCTTCAGTGGTATCACCTTCAAGATTTTCAGGGGGGAGATCTTAGATGGGATTGTTCACAAGGTGCTTAAGCATGGGGTTCTCTTGAGATGTGGGCCAATTGAGAATATCTACCTCTCTTGTATGAAAATGCCTGATTACCGCTATGTGCCTGGAGAGAATCCAGTATTCTTGAATGACAAGACATCAAAGATTGAAAAGGATGTGGTGGTTCGTTTTGTTGTGCTTGGAACAAAGTGGCTAGAGGCAGAGAGGGAATTCCAGGCTTTGGTCAGTTTAGAGGGCGATTATCTTGGACCGGTGTCTTAAGGGTCTAATCTGTGCTCGGCTGGAGATACATTTCTTCTGAAATCTTTTTATAAGATTGGCATAACTGCCAGCTTGTTGGTTGTTTATGGTGTTGTATATTCTTGTGCCACTCTACTTCCTTCTGTGACTGTCATCTTTGAGTTCTTGCAACTCCAGTGATTGCTAGACTATAAGTTGAGCAACTTCGTGTTTCCTTATGCTTGCAGATGTTTACAGATATTATATCCTCATTTTAGGACATCTCATCTTTTGTTGGTGTGCTTGTGTACGGTGTACAGTTCTAGGTCTTGAACTGACGGTTTGTGATGGGAGATTGAGAACTGAAACTCAGTTGTTGGCAGGTTCTATGAATATTCAATGCTTTTTTGTAGTTTAAAACCTAGAATCAGCTATATTGGCTTAGTTGCCTTGCTACTACTCTCAGATGTTTTGTGATCGGCAGAGACTAAATAGGTCGCATTGTTTATGGACAGACTGAAGACTCGCTGCAATTCAGCACTGGCAGAAGGAGTAACTGCGCTTTTGGAAGAGCTAGAATTCTAACATTGTGTGAGGATCTATGGGCCAAGGGACAGTCTTAGGTAGATAGCTTTTATAGGGTGTAGGCCTCCTAAAAGGGACAGTCTTAGGTAGATAGCTTTTATGGGGTGGAGGCCTCCTAAAAGATAACGGAGACGTGCAAAGGTTTTTTTGGCCTGTCGAGCAGGAATGAAAGTTGGCTTAGTGATCCGACAGTGCTGAGTGGAAGGGCTGTCACTCAACAAAAAAGTTACTCTAGAGATAATAAGCTGATCTTCTCCAAGAGCTTATATCGACGAGAAGGTTTGGCACCTTAATATGGGCTCTTTGCCACTTAGAGTTATAGTATGTTTTAAGGGTTGGGCTGTTCGCCTATTAAAACAATATGTGAGCTAGGTTTAGAATGTGACGAGACAATTTCGTCTATATCTAATATAAGTGTTAGAGCATTTAGAGGATATTTTCCTTATACGAGAGGACCGAAAAGAACACACCTTTGCTGTACCAGTTATTATGCCTGCAGTAAACACTGAGTAACCTGGAGTAGATAATTGCTGAAAACATCTAGGTAATGAATTCATTTGAAGTTGAGAGGTCTTCTATTCCAACTTTTTCAGAGTCTTTGGTAGCACAGTCAAGAAAACGACAAGTTCTCTGCCTTCGCAGGAATGAAGTGACAAAAGTTTTGAGAATTCCAAAAAACAAATCACAACAAGATTAGCTGTTTATCATTATGAAGTATATATTATCCTGAAAGGG